AAAAAAAATGCCACTTTTCGCTATGTACAATTTTGTAATAAAACGACTTTACTTTTAAGGAATCTATCAGTCACGCAAATTATGAAACGGTACAATTATACATCACAAAATTATTTCGGTCATATCTTACGCACTTCACATACATTTTGCGTATTTTATTTTGTTTGTTCTTTTTTCTCTTTTTTCCCTTTTTTTGTAGAAAAATTTGTACATTGAATATAGATTGTATATGTACGAATAGTTTTTCTTCCTTTTTTATTTTTTACGGTATTGTGTCGTAATTTTACAAAGAGCAAAGCAAAATCGACAAATCAACACCAATCGTGAATCAATGAATTTGTAACATATTATGTAGGTAAGAAAATGCAAGAAATGATATATACATCTATTATATATTATATATTATATACATACATACACATATAGAAAAGTCTGTGAGATACCAAATTTTGATAGATAAATAAATAACGTAAGTGGTATATATACATATACATACATCACGCGTGTGGGCACGCTACGCTCGCGCGTGCACACGCGCACACACACACGCACGCACACACAGGTATACTTAAAAGGGATGCGCAATCTTCATAAAAATGTATCTCTCACTTTTATGTTTTTGATTTATACAGATTTACGACAGAGGAATCTATTATTATTAGAATTATTATGATTATTATAATGATTATAATTAATATTATTATTATTATTATTATTATTACTATTACTATTAATTACGTCTTTACTGTTCTGCTGTGATGATTAGTCAGTACGACGTATTTAAACTGTCTCTTAAAAGGCTTCGGCAAGTTCGAATGACTGTTTCTGAGAGTTCGCTATTGCGGGGATTCTCAAAGTAAATCGAACGAGTGTAAAGTTCGTGAGACGTGATTGAAAAACTCATGAAAAGTAGAAAATTAAGATATTGAAGCATTTTGCATTTGAATGTCGGATGTTTTTATTGTATGGTGATTTTAAGAGATGAAGTCGAGCAGCTTTTTAACCCTCCATGAAATGTTTTTATATAGAAATAAGTTTGTAGAATAAAAGAATGTGACTGAAAAATTACGAAGGTTTCTAGCTAATCGTAAATATTATTAAAAAGAAAGAAAGAAAATTGTAAAAGTGCAATTAAAACGCTGTGGTGAAGAATATATTTCTTTAAAATCAAGAAAGCTCTAGGAAAAAACAAAAATTGAATGTCGAATAAAAGTGCAAAATGCTTACTGAATATATTATATATGAATCCATATTAATAGTTTTTGTAGAAATTCTTTGTATTCATGTCTTACATAATAAAAAAAGGTTAGAAGAATAAAAATATTTATAATTTGAAAAAAATACAAAAATGTAAAAACAAAATTTAATCAAATAATTAAAAAAGTTAAATTCGGTACCAGGAAGTTTGAGAAACCCTGCTCTACCGAATTAAATATTAAGCATTTTCATAATTTCTACAACACCGCTTTCAAATCGTTAATTTTTTATCGTTTAGATGAACTAGATAGCAATATTAATGGAATATTTTCATAATACTCTGTAACAATTACAAATAAATTTTTTAATTACGGAATCAAAACCAGATAAATGTGATTTTATAATAGGGAAATTAAAAATGAAATAGGCGCAATAATTAGAATTTACTAGCATATATTATTAAATAACCAAACTTTTTTGAATATCTTTTTCTCAATACAGAGTAACTATAAATAAACGCGATAAAATCTTACATTTTTTTATATGTACCAATAGAAAATGTAAGAAGTACATGTTATTATTATTACTCTTAGAGACACTAAATAGCAATGTTTTGTAATTTATATATATCTTTACACGTCTATATATACATATAAATAGGTACAATTGTACATAGAGATAACCGAAGTTTTTTATGTTATATCTATAATCTAGTGTGTGAGCGTGCGCGCGCGCGTGTGGTGTGTGTGCTAAGTGTGTGTGTGTGTGTGTGTGTATATATATATATATATATACACATTTAGCACACAAAAAATGCTTGGTACATTGCATACCAAATATACATTTTTATCTATTGCGTGTAAACCACGCCAGAAGTATTATGTATTTATTTCAATTGTTAAATATTGATTAAAATATTGTAAACTTCCTAAAGTCTTTCTTGACTCATTGAATAATATGTAACTTTTCCAATTAAATTTGCATAACTTATTAGCACTGTAGAATCTTTTCGACATTGTTAGATTCATTTATTAACATTAAAGTATTTAGTCATTCGCAATTGCTTTGCACAAGTCATTTTCGTACAATTTTACTTTGGTATTTATAGTGTTATATTTATATTCTAACAATCTTATTTATTTTAACAGGTTATAATTATTCAGTAGTATTTTAGTTGTTATTGGTTACACCAAGAATACAGACTATTCATATTCAAAGACAAGTGTAATATATGGTAAATAATTCTTTAAAGCATAAATGCTATAAATATTATATGAAATATGTTATTTATCGGGAGTATATATATTTTGGCGACTAAAAGAGATGTTATGAAATATTAAATATATAATATTTGGATGTATTAAAAGAAAAAATAGAAAATTTAAAAGTTTATAAATATTATTTACGAAAAACATTAATAATAGAAGCATGTTATACTTTTCTCTCATCTTTCCTTTACGGAACTGTCATATGTCAACGGCGTGAGAATAGTCATTATATTTTTGTTCCTGAGCTGTACAAGTTTAGTTGATGCGTTTGTGTACAGTTTGTGCTTCATTATATGGTTACAGTTTCATAGGTGAGTTTATTTTCAATTTTCTTACTACACAGTTCAATATTTTGTGTTCGATATTTTTTTAACACGACACGAAGTAAGTATTATTTTTTATTTGTTATTGTTTCACAAGAATAATGTTCTAAATACTTGATATCTCTCTTTACAGACAATTTAATAATGATGAAGCTTCTTCGACCGCGATTAATAACATTCGATGTCACTGGTACGTTACTGATGACAAAGTTGGAAGAACATTACGTCGAAATTGGTTCTCAACATGGCTTGTCAGTTGATCCACGAAAATTGGCGCGAAGTTTTAAAAACAGTTTTTATAGACTTAGTGTAGAACATCCTGTTTATGGTAAACACACAGGCATTGGATGGGAAAATTGGTGGAGACAAATAGTTCATAATGTTTTTAAGGATCAACACAATTACATTTCAGATGCTACTTTAGATAAGGTGATAAAAACCATTGCAATATTTACATTACATCTTATAATGAATGAAACATTTTATTTGATATTATCACATTCAATTTCTGCTTAATACATAACAATCATTTGTGTACAGTTTGTAAAACAGTTTGTAAATTAATTAAACATAATAATCATTTCAATTAAATATTTTCATCTATGATAAAATTATGAATATAGGTTCTTTGTTTATACACATATTTATTCTTACTAATAATTTTTGCATCTTTACTAATGATACAAAGTGAATATCATAAGATGAGAAAGTATTATTGAGAAAACAAAAATTATTACCGAAAAAACTTAACCTAAACTCATATCTACTATCAATGACTCTTTTTTATCGTTATGACCCATAGGTTGCTAACAGTTTGATAAGGTGCTATGGTACGAGTATGTGCTGGCATAAATATCCAGGCACGATCGAGTTACTAGAGTATCTCCAAAAAAAGGATCTGATTTTGGGCATAATATCGAATTTCGATGAGAGATTAGTGGCGATACTTGAAGATACAAGAATACGTTTTTACTTTTCATTTGTTTTAACGTCTTACGATTTTGGTGTGGAAAAACCAAATACTTTGATATTTGACGAAGCACTGAGATTAACAAAAGAACGACATAGTATCGATATAACTCCTCAACAAGCAATACATATTGGCGATTCTGTTAGTAACGATTATATTGGTGCGAAAAACGCTAACTGGAATGCTATTCTTGTTCAACATGATAATGATGCCATAAATGAAAAAAAAGTCCCTACGAAGGATGTATTTAGAAATCTTCGTGATTTAAGGCTACACCTTACTAACCTTCTAGATAGGGATATGTAGTATACTTAATCTGGTGAAATAAATTTAAAACAAAGTATTTGAATTATTAAAAAATTCATCCGTGATTTTAATGACAAAACCTACATTTGTTCGTGGCAAAATGAAATTAACAAATGTACCATAACACCCATATTAATAATTGCTTTCTTATTAAATATAATATATTTTCAAGATACACTCAATAAATATGTAAGAATATAAAATCAATTCTTGTCATGTAAACAAAGTAATAAATATTTAATAATATAATAGTATTATTAATAGCAAACGTAGTAAAAAAACGTAAAAGAATATATTTTAACATATACTTATACTTTTGTATAAAAATAATTTTTGAATACTTTAATAGGTCTTAATAATTTTATTTATTTATAGATCTATAAATTAAGTAAATTTATTATCAACTATAAATGAATTTATAATATCATTTCTCATTTCCTGATAAAAATATAACTGCCCCATTGTTGGCATTATTTGAATTACGAATGACGAAGTATAAATACTATAATATAGTATAATCTTCACATATGAAAAATTTGTTAATATGTATCTTATTTAATACAAATTCAATATTCATTTTTTTCTTTTTTATTCTTAATATATTCGTTATTATATTACTAACTACTAATTTTTATTATGTTTTTAATAAAATTTTACATTTTCATATATTTTATTAAAAAATATAATATTGATAAAAACAATACGAAATGGAAATATTTGAAGCATTCCACTGCAATATTGATAGTGATAGAAAGAAGTCATCGTTTCCTGAGTAGTCTCTTTCTCATTTCCGTTTTGGTAAGATATGAATTACTAGTCACAAGCACTAATAAAATGATCTATAATTTTCAATTCAATTTATAAAAATAAATATCTATTATTTTTAAATATAATTACCTTTAATCAAGTTTTAAGTATATTTAAATCTATAAATATTGAGGTTACATATAAAAAAATTTTTTAATGTTTCCGTTCTGTTTAAAAATTAGAATTTCGAAAAACATGAGCACTAATTTGATAAAACATCTTGCATGCACTATTGTTAATTATAGAGTAGGAAATGTAATTCCAATGATTTTATTGTTACATTTTTCTCAGCCTGCATTTTCTACCAGAAGTGGCAGCATGTTACTACACAACCATTCGGCATCGGCCCACACGACTTCTTAGAGCTCACTTACGATTCGAGCCTGACTCCCTCTCAGTCAGTTTCTCACTAACCTGTCTTGTGGAGAGGCTTTCTTCATGATTTTCTGATCTTTTGTCGGTCGAATAGGTTAGAACAAAAATTTATCTCTTTATTTTAAAAATTTGTGATACTTGTGTGAATTCCATTGGGCAAAAAATCAGTGTAAGCTTCGCGATTAGTTTGTGTTTTATGCAATTGTGAATGTCAATTGTGTACTTGAAGATTTTATTGATATTTGAGTAAGAGATGGAAGATTATTTTTTCTACCAAATTTTTTTTCTTTTTATAGGATTACGAATGTAAATCAATAGTTTTTTTTATTGAATCATAACAAATATTTATTCAAACTGCGATTTGTGATTTATATGTTGTAATGTATGGCCAAGAACATTGCATGCCTATTATCTTACGAGATTTTAAGTAGACGATAATGAGTGAATTAAAAGGCATCAATAAATATAATTCTTAAAACTTCTAGATTTGAAAAGTGAAAAATTGTATTTAATTTTATTCGAACAGGCACCATCTGTACAATTCTATAAAAGTAGTTTAATTCAAATTAAAAATTATTATAGTTGTTAATAAATGTATTATTTATAATTTAGGATATAAACTTATGTAGTATATGGTTTCAGTAACGTTTGTATGTTGCGTGATAACATTTTATAATTTTATATTAATTGGATAATATAATTTCCATTGCAAAATGTTATATATCTATATTGATTAATGATAAATCTTCAATCAAAAAATCTATAAATTTGAAAATATTAAATATAAATAGTGTAGTATATATATGTATATAATATTGATATACAATATAATATGTAAAATATATTATATAATATATCGAGATTATTGTATATAATAATAATACAGAAGATTAATATTAAGATTAATGAAAATTAGGTAGATAAGAAGATGAGAATCATCTTTAGTGGAATGCAGTTTTGGCAGTAAAAAAAAACAAAAATTTTTGTTGGGGATTCTGTTGTCGATGAACTCGATCGATAATCAGGACATCGTTCTAACCTGCAAAGAAATTAAAAAAAGGGAGAGTTTTCAAGTGAAAGGGTTTACACATTGTCGCTGAAGAAAGTGAATCAAAATTACAACGAAGAAGATTTACTTAAAAATTGTCAAATATGACTAGAGGAAGACACAAGAAAATGTTAATGTTAATTGTAATCTACTTGGTGACAGTATTTGCTGAACCTGACCCCTCAGACGAATTATACAGTCGATTCCAAAAAAATCAGGACGAAGACAAGTGCTATGATGACAATGGAAGACCACAGGTTCGTACCCTTTCGTTAACATTATTTGATATATTTATAAAATTAAAATGATTTTTCTCGAATTTAACAATTTTAATAATTTTTAAATAAAAATTTAAATTCAGTAAAATGAAAGAACTTGTGATGTAATTTACTTTGTATTTAATTGTTAAATAGTTTGATATTAATTTATAGTGGAATTTTTCGTATAACATTTATTCAAGATTCAATTAATTTATCTAATATTTCTTTCATAAATATAAATCTTTTTTTACAATTATTCTATTCTGGAAATATAAATACAAGCATCAATAAACTTTTGTTTATTCTTAGTCATCAGAATTTCCTTTTTTTTTTTTTTTTGAGGGTATTACCACATTAGGTTATCACAGTAAAGGTTCGAAGTTACATCAACTTTATAGATAACTATAAAGAGATAAGACTAAACAAACATTCTAAGCATAAAAGAACTACTAAATTTCTAAAAAAAGTTCTAAAACTAAAATTTTCTATTTTAGTCCATTTTGAATGCTATCGTATCTTTTATTCTTTTTATAGTGTTACACATCCTCTTAATCAAATATGCTAATTAAGTATAGAATATAAATTTTAAATTATTAAAAGTTTGCAATTTATATGGCCAAATTTTTTCATTTAGATGTTTTTACAAAAATTATATAGGAAATATTACATTGATAACAATTACTTGAAACGGAAATAATCTGTGAATATTTTAATGACCTGTATAGTCCTCTACATTCATGTCTGCCATTATAAGTATACTATCACGATTAGGATGTTACGATATTATGTTTAATTTGAATATTTGAAATCTTATTTTTTGGAGGTTCAGAATGAGAAATGAATATATACATAGAGCGGAAATAATATTAATTATAAACTTCTATTTTTTTTAGTTATGTTAAGCATATCTTAAAACAAAAGAATTATACAATAAAGATGTGCAGATTTATTAAACAAATATTATTTTTGAACACTTGTGTTGTAGAGGTGTATACCACCTTTTGAGAATGCAGCATTTAATGTACTTATGGAAGCAACAAATACATGCGGTCAAGATCGGCCAACAGAATTTTGTAAACAGACCGGTGTCCAAAAGAAGTCTTGCGAAATATGTCGATATGGAGATCATTTGCCTTTGTTTCTTACTGATCATGATAATAATGATAATGCAACTTCTTGGCAATCAGAAACAATGTTTGAAGGCATCGAATATCCAAATCAAGTTAATCTCACGCTACATTTAGGTATGATATGAAAAATATTATTTTATAGTATATTTTATTTGCTATTATAATGATGTATTAAATTCAAATGATGAGATCATTTAATTGCGATTATTTTTCGCGAAATTAGAGTAGATAGTGTTAGTTATCTTACACCATAGATACAGAAAGGGAGTTCATTCATCGTTATTCGCGATGAACTCTTAACACGTCCTCAATGTTTGTCGTTTTCTTTCTTCCTCTCATCTGCTCTTTTTCCATTTTACATCCTTATCTATCAGGATGTGTGTGCGATGCGATAATTCTCAGAACCACCAACCTATGGAAAAGCATATAAGCAAGGCGTAATTCTGAATGCGAATATTTTATTTTTCTAAATTTTTTCTCTTAACTACCATTATTTAGTAGTATAAAAATACATAAATTTATTTAAAGTAAAATTTAAATAATTAAATTTGTTTAATTACAAAAATTGATATTGATATTTAACACTTGCTTATTTCCTTATATTGATAGAAAATATGATACTTGATTATTTTGGATTACTTTCAATAGTCTTTAATTAAAATTACTAAAATACTTGAATAATCTTCCATTTAAAAAACTACTAGTAAATTTTAATTTTCATTACAATAATAATGTATTTTTAATAACATATATATTTATATAATATATGCTATTAGAAGATATTCTTTAAAATTTCTTTAATAATTTCTACAACTTTCCTTATTGAGCGTTGCTAACATATTTTACATATTTTAAACAATTTTTACTGGGGAATAATTTTATCATACCAATATAAACTAACTTAAACAATGTATATACTTCAAGAGTTCAAACAGTAGAGGCTTCTTAAAAATACGAAGAATATAGAATTTCTGCCTGTGCACCACATGTTCACTTATGAAAGAATCAGCCACTTGTACCCTGCTGGCTTTACAGTGAAGAATTGCAGTGGCGTAGAATCCCCTTATTTCTTAATAATTTCAATATCATTCGAATATCTTTTAAAAAATATTTATTCATTACCATTTTATAGAAGTATTCGATTTTTTCTTTAATATTTTTTCTTTACAAGAAATATGTATTTACATTCATTTTTAATATTATAAAATGCATATAAATTTATATACACAATTTATATTTCATCAATAGTATTCTTTATTTCTCACATGTAGTATTTTTAAATTATTATAGGCAAGACGTTTGATATAACTTACGTTAGAGTACTTTTCGAGTCACCTCGTCCGGAAAGCTGGGGCATTTACAAGAGGAAAAACGAAAAATCATCATGGGAACCTTATCAATTCTATTCTGCGACCTGTAGAGATACTTACGACTTACCAGATTTAAAAGAAACAGTACGGGGTGATGATACCAGGGTGTTGTGTACTTCTGATTATTCTGACATATCGCCTTTGACGAAGGGTACTGTCGCATTCTCTACTTTAGAAGGTCGGCCTTCGGCCTACAACTTTGAAACTAATCCAGCACTGCAGGTATAGCTCCTCTTTCAGTAATACATAAGTTTTCTTTAAAACTCTTCCTTTATGAATAGTCTATCGTTTTTATCAAAGATTAATTGTAATTATGTGCGGAAGGCGAATTATAAATAAGATGTTAAAGAAATTATGTAAATTTATATCATAATATTATAATTATAGTGGTAAGATGATTTGAAAATACTATATTTTAATAATAAATTTGAGTAAGAAACAAACATTATCTTGTTTTTAAGGAATGGGTCCAAGCAACAGATTTAAGAATTACTCTGGATAGATTAAATACCTTTGGTGATGAAGTTTTTGGCGATGATCATGTTTTAAAATCCTACTACTATGCAATCGCTGACGTCGCCGTTGGAGCACGTTGCGCTTGCAATGGCCACGCTGGAGAATGTGTAAACAGTACCAGCGTAGATGGAAAAACTCGCAGAGTATGTAGGTAAGATAATTTATAAAAGTTCTGCCGTATATCATTGTTGCATATGAAGACTTGTTAAAAATAATTAAATATCACTAATATATAGAACGTAACTAATATATAACTGAAATAACTCCGCATTTTTTTTTTTCTTTTTTTTTAATTTGAACTCAATGTGATATACATTTTTTATAACATTTTACATATTTAAGATTTGAAAAAACAAAATTCAAGTATATCGGCAGGATACAATTTCAGTCTGCAAATTTTAAAGAAAAGATTTTATTCTTATAGATGCGAGCATAATACTGCAGGTCCGGATTGCAACGAGTGTTTGCCCTTTTATAATGATGCACCGTGGGGGCGTGCCACTACTACAGATGCACATGAATGTAAACGTAAGTATAAAATTATAGAATAATTTTTTATAATAATTATTAATTTACAGAATATTGTTGAATTTCTATATATGCATATTATAGATGTAATAGAACAAAAGACCTTTGAAAGGTAGATCATATTGATCGGTGTGTAGGTAGGTCTTCGTGAACTTGCTTTACAAACATTGTTTTTTTTTTTTTTTGCGTTGTGTATTCAGTGACTAATTTGAATATGAAGATATATCATATAGGGAGAAAAATACCTTCGCTATTGTGGGTATTACCTTTTCGAGCAACCGAAGAGAGTTTGCGTTCACGATCACGTTGGTATTACCTAACCAGCTTTACCTTTTACGTTCATTGCTTGTTCTGAAGTGGGGACTGTTGGCAATGCAGGAGAATACAATACAGCTTTCTGTAGACCAAGAGCTCAGTTCTTAAGATACCGCGATACAAGCGATTATTTATTATATTGCATTGATTAGACCGCGTAATAGCGCAATTTTTTTTTATAAGAAAGGCAGTATGATCCTGACTTTATTCAGTGCAATCAAATACATAATTTGCTATTAATAAAATTCCGTTATTGTATTTGTGAATATTAATCATTCATTGATTTAGTAATTGATTTCTTATGAACCGATTAATGTGAACAGATAGTAGAGCTATTGTTAAAATAACTTATTTATCAACTTTTAAATATATACTATAACTTATCAAATGTTGCAAAATACTCTTATATATTTTTTTCGTGTTTTGTAAATGATGGATCGAAAATACAAGATATATTTATACAATATTTTATTTTTGAAATGAATTTCAAAATCTAATGAAGGGTGATAATAATATAAAAAAAGAAAATAATCTTTCTTTTTCCATTTAAAATTTATATAATGAAGTATTTGTTTAAAATGAAATCAATCGCATATGTAATTCTTATGAATGCGATGATTAGTACTTCATCACGGTGGGATGGAATTTTTCCGTGGTTCTCGGGATCTAGTAAATATTTAGATAACGTTATTATTTATTTTTCAAGAAAATAACATATTAACATATTTATAATATTATTTTTAAAAATCATAAAACTATTTCTCTATAATGAAATTTTACTTTAATATTGTATCTTTGTCTTTCAGCCTGCAACTGTAACGGTTATTCGGAAAGATGTTTCTTTGATAAAGAATTATACAAAGCTACTGGTCATGGAGGCCACTGCCTAGACTGTCGAGCTAATCGCGATGGTGCGAATTGTGAACGTTGTCGAGAAAACTTTTATCAGCGTCCAGATGACAATTATTGTGTTGTTTGCAACTGCAATGAAATCGGTAAAGTGATGTACTCTTTCTCGTTTAGATCTAAAAATTGTAGGTACTTATCTCTATGATATGTTAGTGGGTTTTAAATATAAATATGTAGAAAATTATAAGATGATCAAAATTTAAAAGATGGTTCTAAATTTATGTTAAAAATAAAAAATTAGTAGTAAATAAATTTCAATATTAAATTTCAAATTCAATATTTTATATTTATTAAAATTCAATATTTTATAGGTTCAAGAAGTTTACAATGTAACAGTGAAGGAAAATGTCAGTGCAAACCTGGTGTAACGGGTGATAAATGCGACCGCTGTGCAGCGAATTATTATAACTTTGGTTCGTACGGTTGTACTTCTTGTGAATGTAATGTAGCCGGTTCACTTACAAATGCACCAAGCTGTGATCCTGTTAGTGGTGTTTGTATCTGTAAAGAAAATGTTGAAGGAAAACGATGTCGAGTGTTAGTAACCTCGTCAATATTTTTAATAGCAATATGTTATAATTAATTATTATCTTTTATTTTTTTTATAATGAACAGGTGTAAACCAGGATTTTTCAATCTTGCGATGGATAACAAGTTTGGTTGTACACCATGTTTCTGTTATGGGCATTCCTCCGTGTGCAGACCGGCAACTGGTTATTCTAAAGTAGTAATCGAAAGTATGTTTGTGAGAGCAGCTGAGCGATGGACAGCTAACGTAGCTGGTAACCCGATACCACTTCATTACGATCCTCTTACTCAAACGATATCTGCCACAGCACTGGATCGAGACAACGTTTATTTTGTTGCACCTGGTAAATATAAATATGAAATGAACTGTATGTATTTTTAAATAAGAATTGCAGAAAGTATGACAAATAGGCAAAATTATATTGTTTTAATGTGAGTAAAATACTCATAGTTTATTAATAAAAAAGGTAATTGTATATAGACAGGTTTCTTGGTGATCAACGAGCGTCTTATAATCAAGACTTGTCGTTTACATTAAGAATTGGAGAAACTGGTCCTGCAGCCACTATTCGCGATATAATACTTGAGGGAGGAAATGGAGAACAAATTACACAACCGATTTTTGGACAAAATAATCGTTTACCTTCAGTAACAGTGAGTAAAATAGTAAAACAATCACGTTCATAGTTTAATAATCGGTAAAAATTTATTTTAGCCACATGAGTACCGTTTCAAATTACACGAACACTCTGATTATGGTTGGGAACCTCGTCTTCTTTCTCGAGCATTTATGTCTATTTTATCAAATTTAACAGCTATCAAAATTCGTGGCACCTATACCCATCGAGGTATTTCAATTATATTTCGTAAATAAAACTATATGTTAATGTAAACTATGTTAACTATGTAAACTATGTTAATGTAATTCCTAATACATATAATATCTTTTTTATAGGTAGAGGGTTTTTAGATGACGTCAAATTGGAGACAGCCCTTCGTGGTGCGGCAGGTGAAACCGCTGATTGGGTAGAACATTGCCAATGTCCTCATGGCTATGTAGGGCAATTTTGTGAATCTTGTGCACCTGGATTTCATCACGATCCACCAAATGGTGGTCCTTTTGCCCTTTGTGTACCTTGTAATTGTAATAGTCACGCAGATATTTGTGAAGCTGAAACTGGTACTTCTTTAGAGTAAATTTGAATTAGAAAATGATTTAAAGATTGATTCAAACATCAAAATATTTATATCTCTCGATTTTTTGTAGGACAGTGTATTTGTGAACATAATACAGCTGGTAGTAATTGCGAATTGTGTAGACGTGGATATTATGGTCATCCTTTAAAAGGTACTCCTGATGATTGTAAACCATGTCCATGCCCTGATCATGGACCTTGTATATTACTTGGTAATAATCCAGATCCAATTTGCTCTGAATGTCCGCTAGGTAGAACAGGTACAAATAAAATCCATAGATGATTTTATAAATTTTTGCCAAAAAGTCATATATTATTTATATTATTCTTTATTTTAGGACCTAGCTGTGACATCTGCTCAGATGGGTATTTTGGAAATCCTAAAAAGGGTATAGCTTGCAGACCTTGTGATTGTAACAACAATATCGATTTAAATGCTGTAAGAAATTGCAATCACGAAACTGGTGAATGTTTGAAGTGTGTAAATAACACAGCTGGTTTTCATTGTGAAGAATGTCTTTCAGGTATTTAATATAACTTTTTTTCATTTAGCATTTTCAATATTATATACAATTATATTTATAACATTCAACAGGATATTATGGAGACGCGTTGTCTGATCGTAAAGAAGACGGGTGTAAGCTATGTCAATGTTATCCACCAGGTACAGTTGAACTCTATGATGGTAGAGTGGCACCTTGTGAACAATTAACAGGACATTGTACTTGTAAGCCACATGTGATCGGACGAAATTGCGACAAATGTGAAGAAGGATATTATCATATACTGAGTGGAGAGGTATTTCAAATTAGTACAATCCTTTCATATATGTATAGTATATATTGTTTGCCCAAGTTATATTATTGTATATATATACATTCTAGGGATGTGCGCCCTGTAATTGTGATCCTGAAGGATCTTATAATCGTACTTGCAATCCTGTTACTGGTCAATGTGAATGTCGACCTGGCATTACTGGTCAACATTGTGATGCATGTGTTTCTCATCAATATGGATTCAGCAGAGAAGGATGTAAATCTTGTGACTGTGATAGTATCGGTTCTCAAGACCTGCAATGTGATGCTAATGGGCAGTGTCCAGTATGTTCATTAAACTATAAGGTTAACAATTTAATTTAAGTATACTTATTAAAATAATCTTTCCTATATTATAGTGTCTCCCTAATGTGGAAGGAAGACGTTGTGATCGTTGTAAAGAAAACAAACATAATAGACAAAATGGTTGCGTTGACTGTCCTGATTGTTATAATCTTGTTCAAGCTGCAGCTAATAGTCATAGAGAACGTTTAACAGAACTTGAAAATACACTCAAAAAGATCAACAGTAGTCCAACAGTTATAAAAGATTCGGATTTTGAAAAAGAATTGAGAAATATTCAGGATAAAGTAAAGAATCTTTTACAAATTGCAAAACAGGGATCTGGAAGTAAGTCAATTTATTCATATTTTTGGAATGAAATTATATCTAATAAAATATTCTAGATGAAAATAAGACATTAATGGAACAACTTGATGAATTACGTGACCAGTTAAATGAAATTGGTGAAATCTCTCAAACCGCAAATTTGACTGCTTCTAGCGCAAGTAAAACTACTTTTGAAGGTCTTATGAATATCATCGAAGCAGAAAGTGTGCTTGATAAGATACACACCCAATTAACAGTACGAATAATATTAACATGATATTACATAATATTTATAAAAATGAATATTTAAATCAAATTTTTCAAATGCTAGGATGCAGAAGATTATTTAGCTACAGACGGAGCAACCGCATTATCAAAAGCAAAATCACGTGCAGAACAAGTTGGTCAACAAAATAAACAAATGACTTCAATCGCACAAGAGGCGCGTTTATTAGCTGATTCGTTAGTAACATTATTTTATAAATTTAAAAATTTAAATATTAAAATATTTCTTCACAATCTATATTATCATTTACTTACAGAAATGTTAATGAAGCAAAAAAAATCCATGCATTGGCGGAACAAGCTCGAAATACAACAATAGAAGCTTATACTCTTGCAAAAACAGCTATAGCAAAATACTCTAACATGTCGTACGTATTTATTTATTATTTTATATTACAATATTGTGAGTATTATTAGTATTTATACTAACGATTTTCAAAATTATTTTTTGTGAATTGTACTTCTTTGAAAAATCTATTTTGTATGTAGTGATGATATCAGAGGATTGGAAAATAAGTTGGAGTCATTAGAGCATCGTATGAACGAGGTGAAAAATTTTACCAGCATAGCAGCCACTAAATCATCTGCTGTTTCACAAGAAGCATTAGATCTACTGATTCTTGATTTAGCTCTTCCACCTGTTAATATTGAGCAATTAAGAAACCAAGTTGAAGACGTGAATAATGAAGTAAATTTAAATCATAGCAGGTATTACTGTTATTGATAATAATTTAAATATTAATAATAAAATACATTACAGGGGTTACGATTGAAAGAACAAGCACAATTACTGTTAAATCAAAATGAAGATTTTATAAATGAAATAGTAGATAAAGTAAAAAAAAGTGAAGAATTAATAGAACGAGCACAGGATCAACAAGCAGCTACTGCTGAACTTTTAGCTGAATTAGACAAAGCAAATGAGAAAGCAGATGATGCTGTAAAACGAGGGGATCAAACTTTAAAAGAAGCCCTGGAAACATTGCAAAAATTAAGTGGTATATACTATTTTAATCAATAACAATGAGAAAATTTTTTCCTTGAAGAAAAAGAAAGAAATATATCTATAATTAATATATTATTTTTAGAGTTTCATGCTGAAGTAGAACGTGAACGCATTAAAGCCCAAGAAGCTTTAGAGGACATAAAAAATATTCAAAAAATAACTATGAATGCCGAAGAGCGAGTTTTACAAGTTGAGAAAGTATTGAATGGTTCTGAAAACATTGCCGAATATGCTCGTAAGATAGCACAAAATGCTCAGGTGAGTTAAATACAAACAATATAATTCTTTGATAATTATAAAATATGTTTATGCTAGACATATGCAGAAGAAGCTAGTGCAAAAGCGAACGCTATTAGAACTGAAGCAAATAAAACTAAAATAGAAGCACTTCGTGTAGGAAACGAAGCTGAAAAATTACATCAAAGAGTTGACATTACAGATTCCATGATGAAAAAATATGAAAATCAAAGCAATCAAGATACGAATATTACAACTGAAGTAAGGCATTAATTGCGCATAATATTTAATGTAATAATTATACAGTAAGACTATCATGTTATTTGATTTTTTTTTTATTTATTTTTAGGTAAATCATAAAGTTGGTTTAGCTAAGATTAATGTAACGGTAGCATCACAGCAAGTTGATAAAGCATTAGCTGAAGTAGATGAAATAATAAAAGAACTTGAAAATCTACCGGAAATTGGTATATTACTCTTTATTTCTATAATTTCTAATCTCCCCGTTATCTCAGTTTGAAATTAAATGTTTAAAAATCTATAAATGAAAACTTTTCTATTTTAGATGGTGCTGACTTAAACCGATTAGAAGAACGCTTAGTTGCAGCTGAAAAACAAATTGCAGCTGCAAATCTAGATCAAAGAATTCGTGCTTTAACGGATGCCAAAAATTTGCAGACACAACGGGTAAAAAATTATGAAGATGAAGTCAGTAGATTAAGAATTGAAGTTGAAAATATTGATGATATAAGAAAAGTTTTACCTATCATTTGTCATAAACGTCTACGACTCGAACCATAAAGCACATTGTAAGGTTTATTAAGTATGTACTTTTATACTTAAGGTATGATTATTTTACTTTTCATAGCGCTAGAGGTGCCTTACATACATTAAAAAGATAAAGAAAATAAAAGAAAAAATAAGATGAAAAAGATCAAGGATGCATAAAAATATGTGCAAAATAATAATTGCAAAATTAGTCATATATTCTTCTAAAACCATAATATATACTGTATATTATAGCTTCCATTATGAATCTTAAAGTATATTTTGATTACAAATTTATGATAAAACTATATAGAAGTATAATATATACTAGTGAATTGTCAGACAAGCAGAATGATATTATTTGTCTATATACACTTCAATCATTTTATTTAACATATCATGTATAATGTGATCTTGCATTTTTTTTTTTTTTTTAAAGATTAATATCATGTCCTTATACATACGAGCGACTGAAATAATGATCATTATACCAAAGATTTTATATAGTAGGCATATCTTCCAATTATCATTATCAGGCCATTTACATTACTCAATTTGTTCAACATTTTTGTAATACAACTTATTTGTACGTATGTACAAACACATGTATATAGTATCTATATACAATAATTTTTTACTAATTGCCATATTTTTTAAGTCTCCTTTTAAGTTCTAAGAAAGCTTCAAAAGTTCCTCCGAAAAAAAATAATTTGTTTAATTTCTATTATGCAAAATCAATATATGATTTATTTATGGAATATTAAAGATCAGGAAAATTTTTAAAATCGAAAGGAGAACAACACCTAAATGTATTTTACAATATGTATCATCACACAACATTTTTACATATAATGTTAACATTTTTATAAAAATATTGATACATATGTAATACAAATAAAAAAATATACAATTATCAGAGAACATGTAATGTGATATATTAATATGTTGCCTGTCAAAACCTATAGAATAGAATAATATAAATTGATATTAAAAAATTATTCAACTTTTTTGTTAAATTTAAAAAAAGAAATACATAAATATTTCAATCTAGTTGTTACCTGCATTTGGGGAAGGAAATACATAAAGACCCTGTCAAAAATATAATAACTGTAAATATTTATTATAATGGATCATAGAATATCGCTACCGTTAATTCGTTATTAAAACAGAATTTAACACATTCGACTAAATGCTATGAAGAAGAACCAATAAATTCTTAGGGAAACTAAGAAATTAAACAATTTATTTAATTATAAATAAAATTATTAGAAACACCAATATAGCGGTCAACACTCCAATGGCTACCCATTGTCTCCGATCTAAAACAAACGGAAAGTAACATCACATGCGTTACTTATAAAGAATGTAGTCGGACTCAAGAGATTTTATCGACATTCATTGAATGACGATAAAATTAAATGAGCAACCTATTGTATACTATATCAGAAAAATTAATACTTATATATTTGGCCCTTCTTCAAACAGTAAATACTGTACATTCCTCTCAACATGCGCTTCTAAACAAGCATTTTATAGCAAAGTTAGGTCTTTATATTAATACTCTGCACTCAAATATCAAATTATAAATTTATTCCATCAAAAAATTAAAAAAGAACAATGTTCACTTTTTACCTATTATATACAGTATTTTATAGAATGTAATAAAAAGATTTAATTTTTTATTTATTTTAAAAGATATTTTATAAATTGTTCTAATTACATTTTAGCAATTGATATTTACTAAAAGATTAGAGTGCAAAGAATTAATATTATAAACTAATTTAGTAATTTAAATAATTTCTAAAATCATATTTTAAGGTAAAGTTGTTTGTACATAGTAAGCAGTAATTGTAACATAAATTACAAAAGCTCCAAAACAATCATTCTTATATGTATTAATTTTTTAGAAATTGCATAAACATGCGAACAAAAGTTATTTTCGCATGAATATATAAGAGCAAAAATTAGAAAAAAAAAAATGATACATCTATAAAACACAAATTTAAACAAATTTAAAATGAAAAAATTATATTCTATGATTGAGAGACTTTACATTGCTTATTTATATAAACATTAAAGAAATTGAGTATGACACTTAAAATATAGTATTAAAAATTGCTTTTAATCAGAACTTAATTTCATGATATATTCATTATCTCTCAAACATAGGATTGAATATGTAACGAGTTTTATATAATCTTAATGCTGTAATTGTTACTTCCATAATTTTGGTGGGTTAGGAGTTTGTGGTACTTTACAGTAACATGTACAGTATAAATAAAGTCTCATATTTTATTCATCAGTATGTCTTCACAATTGGTCATTTATGTGAAATAATAAAGTATAATTTTTCTTTTTACTTTTTAAATACAAACTAGAATAAACAGTTTCTGTTTTATGTATGAATTCACAACGTTATATTATTAACACTCTTCTAACAATGAATAAATGTTTTAGTTTCTATTGTTCAACTCATTTTATTACGTTTCATGTCCCTAAACTGAAGCTCCAGATTACCTGCAGTCACTAAATTTTATAGTATTCATGAACAATCTCATTCGTATTGAAAAACAATCAGTCATCAATCACCATACGTACAAATAATTGTTTTTACATTTTTCTTTGCTTTCTCTTCAACACTTTTCTTTCAAACTCTTTATCTTCATTTACATTCATTACACACATAAACTGACTGGTACTTTCACAATATCATATGAATATTTCACAATATCATGTTCTAAACTAATTTTTTCTACACCTCAATCAATATATTAATATCACATATTGTATACATTGGAAGTGGAAGTATCAGAGGTCTCAAAATATACTGAAGATACTCCTCTAATAGTGTATGTGTATGTATGTATATATGTATGTATCTATGTGTGTATGTGTGCATATGTATATATACATAGCACTAAAATTTTCTCAGGCACAAAATACTTGTGCTATATTTTTTGCTTTGATACTCGCCTTGAAATATTTGGCAACATATTAAAATTCTTCTAGTTTTCTAAAGTTTTTTTTTTAAATTTTTATATATTGAGATACTTATATACAATTTATATATTTATCTAGTTCCTTGATATACAATAGATCATTTTTTAATTTTTTGACGATACGATTTTGTTGTTGCTATCTTTTAGTGCCTATTATACTATTTAAATAATAATTACTTTAATTGTATAAGTTATTGAAGTTTTGAAACTATTTTTTTTAAAACTGCAACTGGTTCATTTTAATACTACATTTTTAGCATTTACTAAATTTCAATATACATGACTCGTTTACAATCTATACATTTTCTAATTATTTTATATACATAAGTTTTCAACGATTGTTTACAATAAAAAATTAATTTTCTTTATCCGTACTTCTTATTCTTGTTACATTGAGAACAAAAGTAAACATAATTCCATAAAGTAGTATATTTCAATATATCGCATAAGAAATGAATAAAAAATATAGAAAAATTGATATCAATATATAAATATCTTGATTTTAAATATTTATGATAATTAAAAAAATAAACAGTAACAAAAAAATAGTTTACAATTTAGGTCATGATTGCTACTATATATATGCATAAATTTTTCTTTTATTTCATGTTTATAACTTTACCTTGTCATTAATATTTTATTAAAAGTTACTAAAAGTTTTACTGTTTTTTCAACTGAACAAAGTTGTCGATTTAATATTGAATATAATTTGTTCATAAATAAAAATATAAAAATTTGGAATTGTAAAATTAAATAAAAATAGATATTTCATTATATAAATACATAAATCGTAAATGATATTAAAGAATGAATTAATTTTTATCTGTTGTTTATTTTAGTGATATTTTTACTTTAAAAGTTCAATGTAATGAGACTTCTATGCTTTAACAAATTATTTTTTTTAAGTAATTACATATCAATATAATCCTACATATGTTTAATAAAAAGATTCAAAAAATTAGAAACAAGTGCAACAGTGCTAAATATTGGTTTAAATTAATTAAAAGAGTGTATGAAAAATGACTTAATCGTGAGTGATTACGATATGCAATGTTATTGTAAAGACAAAATGAATTATTAGAGTCATTAGCTGGTTCCATAATTTTTCAGTAAACACTGGAAATTATTAATTTTGTATTATATAAGAATCAAGATCAATATTAAAGCCAAATTAATAGTTTAAATAAACTTTAATAAAATAAATATCTAAGCAAAAGAACATTATATATAAATGTTACTGAATAATTATGGCAAAATTGTAGTAAAAATATCTATTTAATCTCCAGAACATAAGAAACAATTAGTTATTGTATTTGATAAGGATGATAGAGAAGAAGGTTTAGAGGCAAGATCAGAAACACTAGATGTTGCAGTAGTAGGAATGTAATTATTATAGTTACCATTACTCATATGAAGAACTTTGGCCATTTTTTTCATTGTTGCATCCAGTTTAGAATCCGTCACTTCTAACTCATTACCAAATTCATCCAACATACTGAAATGATTAAAAATACATGCTTCAAAATATCATGACTTAATAAATGTCTTTATTAATAATAAAAATTTGAATAGCACTAATTATTGAACTTACACTGCTTGTTCATCTAATTCAGTATTGATTTGTCTAGATACTGTTTTAAGTGTTCCAATACTTTCACCTATCATGTCTAATTGCTCATCTTGTTGCCTCATCATGTCATTTTGTTGCTGTAATGTATCTCCCAAAAATTGTCTATTTGGACTGTCAATTTCATTTTCCAATTTACTATATTTTGTTGTACCATGATTAACAGGAACTCGAGCAGGACTATTATCTAAAAGTGGCTGCAACAAATGAGAAAATATAAATGTATAAACTATTAGATTAAAAAGATAGCACATATATACAATAAATATTTATTTATTTAAGTAAACAACGAAAAAACAAAGATATTTAATTAAAGATTTAATTATAACATGTAAAATTGTTTTATTTTATACATAGATAATAATGATATGATATTAAACACTTATTTACCGTATAAACCATTTTTTGGTTTCTGTAATTTTAATTACGACTACTTTATTTGAAACTTCATAAAAACACATACTGTTAAAAAGACAAAGAAGCAAATTTAATTTGACACTATCAACATTATCAGTAATTTGACATCTGTACGTAGGTGTCGCAGCGTATACAATAGTAATTTGCGAGCGAAATTTGAAGTTATAAGAAAGACATTTGAACAAACTGTTACTTTCAATTTAATTCATAAACATGTTATAATAAATTGTATTATAAAATTTAAATATGAAAATAATATAAATTATTTTTTATATGTGCGATAAATATTGTAAATAAATTGCATTATAATTTATTAGAATTTATATATGATATTTAATATAATATAATATAATATAATATACTACATTATATTATATTAT